TGTGCGATGTTTATCATCAGCCGACGAACGATTGAAGTGATGAAAGGTTTTCAAAATCGAAGTCATTAGTTTGCGATGAATTTTCAATCTTTTGGCCTCCTGACTGAAGTAAAAACTCTTGCAACTCTTGCTTCTAAAGGACCGCAGTGACGTGTTGTGACTTTATTTCGATTCACGGCCGGATTCTGGCGCAGTCGCTGAGCAAACGTACGTTTGTCTTTTGGACCTTTTGGCTTAAAATTATGGATTTTGTGACTCAAACCGACGCAACAAAAGTTGGAAATAACTTTCCTTGCCGTAAAAACGTGTTACAAGTAATGGTGAGTAATCCTTTCATGTAAAACCTTTCTTTTAGTTTGACAACCGTCCGCAAGCCGTCTAATTTGCATAAATTTCCCAATTCAATTGCTCTCACCGCTTGCTTTGGTGTCAGGATGGTATTTGATTTCCAGAGCTAAAACTTTCCAGTACGTTAGTACAAACGCCAAGGTTCCATTTTATATTGATTTTATGACCAAACGGCATATACCAGAGGCCTTTTTTAATAGTCAAAGTTGGCCTTCGTTTTCTAGCATGTCTAACGTCACAAATATGACCTCTTTAGACTTGTCGATTATAAAAATACAAGACATTGTTTTTCAAATTTTCTTTTAAGGTTTTAAGGAGTAAGAACAAAATAATAATTCGGTGAAGTTTCAGTGTCAGGGAATGTTTCTTACGCGTTCACCCTTCTCTCGAAGTTGCCATTGCATCCTGCCGTGTTTTGTTCGAAAAACAGGAATAAAATCGATTTTTCAAACTTTTTTTAATTTTTCCTTTAAAATGAATCGTTTGAACCCAAAACTATTTTTCCTTAAATTAGGTCACTAAAAGGGATGTTTTGAAAAAATTCGATTTTTTGACGAGTGTCTTGCGATTCTCGATTTTCTCAGAAAATGGCTCTTAAAGTCCAAAATAATTCTTTGATGATCCCTATCAATTGAAGTTGAAGGAATTTTCTGCGGCCATGTCCAGGTCAAAAATATGACAGCATCTTAAACAATGACAGGTAGTTTTAGTCTCCCTAACAGCTGTTTTTTTCTTGTCATGCAATGCTCCTCTTGAGAGAAAAAGGGACAGTAAGGTAGTTTTGATTACCGTTAAATAATGTATACAAACGCCAAAGTTACAGTAAACATCATCTTCCCTGTAATGATTCACTACTGAGTAAATGAATAAAAATGGAAATATATCTAGCTGAATTTGTGGAAACCGCGCCAGGTGGGAATTGTCGTTCACAGAGGTTAATTAACTTACCTTAAAACAAGTGCGCGAATGGGCGATATTGTAAACAAATTCAAGTTTTACGAATGACTCTTGCAAGGTCACTCTCTAGCTTCTTGGTTCCTGATTAGCAAAGAAATATTCAAGTTTATCAAAAAGACACTCACAACTTAGCCATCTGTAGCTACTGTAAGACCACTATCAACATGTATTCTTTGTGACATATTAGAGAAATTAAGCATCAAAGTTGACAAATTTTGAAAATCAGAAATGAGGAGATTATATTTTATTGATTATTAGTAACATCGTTGGGAGGAAATAAGACATTTGAAATTGACTACTTGGAGGCATTTTTAATAGACATCGAGAGTAATGAACATCTGTTGTTTGTGACATATGAGTTGACAACATTGACAAACGAAAAGCTAACGAAAGAAATCTTTTTACATAGTAATAGTTAATAAGAATATTCAGTTGTCATCGCCGTCGTTTTCAAGAGATGTTATAACTCGTTTCGGAAATGATTTTCACTTATTAATCCAACATTGGCGCAAAAGAGACATTTCAAATTAACTATTGAGCTTTTTCACCTCGTTTACGAGATGTGTCATTGTTTTCTTTTATTTACCTTGTAGGCACCTCCTGTTTCTATTTGTTTTCGTGCCTGTTGTGTGGATCGAAAGAACGGAAAGGTCGTCAGCGGAATCCAAGAAAATAAAGCTTTTAGCATGTTTTAGTTCCCGTCAAACACATATACACAGGAAAAATTTCAGATTCCACAAAAAGGGATTAAATAGGGATTTTACTGGGAATTTGTAGGGTTTTTATTGGGAATTCCCAAAATTGTGAAAGTGCTACCAAACCCATTTTTAGGTCAAAAAAATCACATTAAAATCCCAATGTTGGAATAAAGATGTCCCATCATTTTCCCATCCCTGGGATTTTTTTGTCCCAACAATTTCCCCAAACTGGGATTGTTTTGTCACAACAATTCCTCCAAACTGGGATTCCTTTGTCCCAACAATTACCCCAAAGTGGGATTTTTTTGTCCCAACAATTTCCCCAAACTGGGATTCTTTTGTCCCAACAATTTCTCCAAACTGGGATTCCTTTGTCCCAATAATTACCCCAAAATGGGATCCTTTTGTCCCAACAATTTCCCTATACTGTGATTCCTTTGTCCCAACAATTTCCCCAAACTGGAATTCTTTTGTTCCCACAATTTCCCCAAACAGTGATTCCTTTGTCCCAATAATTACCCATTCCTGGGATTCTTTTGTCCCAACAATTACCCATTCCTGGGATTCCTTTGTCCCAACAATTTCCCATTTCCTGGGATTCTTTTGTCCCAATAATTTCTCAAAATTGGGATTCCATTGTCCCAGCAATTTCCAGAGACTGGGATTTTCCTACCTATATAATTTCACAAGACTAGGATTTACCTGTCCGATTGTTTCAATAAAATGGGGCATTATCTTTCCCAGTATTTTCACAAAAGTGGAAAGTATTTGTCCTAGTATCTTCCCACCCTCCCCCAAAAAGAATTATATCTCACAGTATTTTAACAACAACGTTTATTTTCACAACGTCTATCAAAGGTAGGAAATGCTCTCTTGTTTCACAAATCAAACACAAATTTCAAGAATGCACCTAATACTAGTTTAAATACAAAGAAATACCTGCAAGTTAAAGTCAACTCTAAACATGGTTGGTAATAACACTATTACAAGGCAATTTCCCTGTTAACAGTTATGTCAGCCCTTTTGATATCGGCAAGGCCAACTCCAAGTTTTAATGAAACATACTTAAATTTAATTAGCTTTCTTGCGGTAACTTCTAAAAGCTGTGTTACTGAAAGTGTTGTTAAACTCTTTTAGGTAACCTGAAACCTTCCTTTTAACTGTTTGACCAGTTCTTCTCTATCTGGAATTTTTTCAGTTACTGCTTTAATTATCACCATTGCTGACTTTTTGGACATCTTGTTATCTCTGATATCTGGTTCAGCTGATTCTCCAGAGGCTTCTTCTTCCTCATTTACTATCATTGTATCTGTGGACCCCTCTGAATGGTTATCATCATCATCCTAAAGACACACAGTAGAGCCTTAAATTTACAGCGATTTGACAAATACAAGCTTTATAGGTTTTAAAGTGAATTTTACTTAAGTGTTTTTGCATGGTGACTACAACCTGACTGATAATGGGAAAAATGATCCTTGATTGTAACTGAGGTAGTGCAGTACAAGATTATCACCTTCGTTGTGCAAAAATTCAATAAAATCTTAACTTGACAGGTTGTCAAAATTTATTGGGAAGATGGCCAGGAAGGATTTAAAACAACAACCATTTGAGGTGCATTAAGTTGCCTTTTCATGAAAATCCTAAACATTTGAAAAGTGTTTAAGTGTTCCAGCTTGAAGCTGAAGACCCAACACAACCCCACACCATGATTATATGTACCTTTTCATCATGACAAATATTTTCCTTTATAAAAGGCTTAAACAGGTTTCCATTGCAATACCTCAGGTGGAGAAAATCTTTTTTTCTTGGCATTCTTTTCATCCTCTTCTTTGGGCTGTTTAAAAGAATTAAGCATGCAGTGCATTACTTCATTTTGCTATGATTTGTTAGAAAGCACCACCCTCAAATAAATTATATATCTTGCACATTAAAAAAAAAACAGTGCACCTGATTGACTGAAAAAGTTATTATTGCCTAGACTCAACACCTGCTTTTGCTCTCTTCATGGTATTAAATTGTAATTAAAGAGGATGTTAACATATTAAACAAGCAGCATCTTGCCATGACTTACCATAGATGGCAACTTGGGAGGAGGTGTCAATTCTACTTCACTGTTGGAGCTGGATTCTGAACAAGATGGTAGTACTACAACCTAGGAAGATGGTATTCTGTCAATAACATGCCAAAGCACTGATGGCACCTTTTTCATAACATAGAAGCAGGTTTGCAATATTATAGATGTGAGTTGCCAAGAGACTAGGAAACCTATTCAGCAATAATTAATTATTATAATGACACAATTCAACTTCAAGATGAAAAACAGTCAGCCATTGGACAATAATAATTATTGCCCAATGGCTGACTGTTTTAGTAATAATTATTATTAGTATTATTGCCCTTTCAAATCTCGCAATATATCATAGAATGCCAACCAACCTATATTAACATAAATCCCAATACCTTTTTGCTTTTATGGAATCTTCGTTGCTCACTGAAGAAGCTTTTAATATGCTGAGCAATACCATCTGTGAAAAAGCCAGCCTCTGGCAGTGAACATTCATCAGAGATCTTCTTAGCAAACTGTTCAAGCTCAGCTTTTTTTTCTGGTGTATTGAATTTTGGCAACTTGTGTTTCCAGTGCTCACTTGCAAGTACTCCCACTTGTTTGCGTCTGTAAAATATTGTNTGTGAAAAAGCCAGCCTCTGGCAGTGAACATTCATCAGAGATCTTCTTAGCAAACTGTTCAAGCTCAGCTTTTTTTTCTGGTGTATTGAATTTTGGCAACTTGTGTTTCCAGTGCTCACTTGCAAGTACTCCCACTTGTTTGCGTCTGTAAAATATTGTTAATGCAAAATGTGAAGGAGTTGAAGATGTATTAGACATTTGACCATTAGTGTAAGCTAAAATACATGATTTTAATTCACTTCATATTTGAATTTCATTTGCTTCTGATTTCTTATAAATATGAATAAAAAAAAATTCAAGAACAAATTAGGTCGAAATTGCTTAACATCAGTGAACTTTTATCAACCTACAACATACTCAAACACAAAACTCGCAGGAACAGAAGGAATCAGCATTAATAGTTAGGTGACAAATAATATGATATTACAAGCTAGCACACTTGACACTGAAAACTTAGCAAAAAAGGCCGGCCATAGTACTATTCCAAATGATGGATCAAAGAATTATCTGTTAGAGTATATTATAGTGCTGAATATCAACCCAAACTAAACCCATTGAACGCTGGCCCTAACACAGGGAAGAAACTGTAATATCAAAACCTGCTGAATAGTTAAGCACAGTTCCTGGTTCACAAGCCAGTCAATTTTGCTTCGTTAATTAACTGATTGTTTCATCGTGCGTCATTTTCGTGTGGACCTTGAATTAAACAGGCAAACCTAAAACAGCTTTCCGGGCCCGAAAGGTTAATATAACCAGAACGCCCATAGTCAGCAATGAGTTAGTAGAAAATCGCCTTACTTTGCTAAATATAGTCGCTTCATTTCTGGTGAAAAGCCAGCCATAGCCGCCATTGTTGGTTTAACCTGTGGAGACGATGGTCTTGACTGCAATGAATTTACGTGTCTTCCAAATTCTTTTCTAAATTTCACCGCTTTTCGATACGTTAAACCCAATCTCGAAAATATTGGCGCGTCCGGTTCTCTCTGAGTCAAGTCTTCAATCGAGGCGTCATCAATTATCTCCTCCTCTAAGAAACAAGAGTTTAATGTTTAATTTCAGATACATATTCAGTGTTGAATTATTGACACTGTTTGGAATAAAGCAATCTACAGCAGTTCCAATTAGATGAATTGCAGTAAACACAAAAAACATTCTATTTACATCAGGTAAAGTGTCAAGCTTCGTTCAAACCACAGTCTCACTCACATCTTTGAACTGTGCACGCTGCCGGTGAGAAAAACTGACTTACTTTCAAAAGCGGTCTTTATTTCTTCCCCAAATTTGGCTTGAATCTTCTCTAATAAAGACTCCTCCGTGTTGGATACGTTGCTTACTTCTGAAGCGCTAACAATCTCAGATTCTTCTGCTGCCATCTTGCAAGCCTCACCGAAGAAAAAAACAGCGAAAAGGCTGTGAGAAAAACGTGCCACAAGGTTATACCTACATGTATAATAGTACTGCATTTGTTATTGGATAATTTTCGCGCCATTTTCACTACGTCACTTACGTGTTTTCTATACTTGGACCTTATTGGATACGGTGTTTGAAGGCCGCTGGGCGAATGAATTGCTGGCATACTTTTCAACAAATGGTTGCTCAGTGAGTTGAGCCCACTGTTATTAGGACAGCTCCCTTCTTTCACAAAAAAGGAATATGGCGGAAAACTTACGTCCTCCACTGGAAAGTGGTAGTAAAAGTAATCCGATTTGGACTAGAAGTAGCATCACATCGTGCTGTTGCAGTGATAAGTCATATCGGCATGTTCATTGCCCTTGTTCAAGCTGCAATGGACGAGCAGTGGATAGAGGTACCGAACTTAGGCATTGGAAAGAAAGTCAAATTGTTTCCAAAACTTGTTTTGCATTGGATGAGTTTCGTGAACCTTTACCACGACGTAGTTTCAATCCCACTGAAAGTTGTCCCTCGGATGGGGAAGAACAGATGGATGAAGATATTGAAGTTATGCAATACCACAGCAATAATGAAAGGGATGAAGACGAAGACGGAAGCTGTGCATGCTTGCCGAGAGCCGCAAGAACAGAGAAAAACGCCACTGGTAAAACTGAAGAAAAAGATCCCAACCCATTGAGGAAATTAGTCGTTAATGCCGTTCTAGACGCTCTCAGGATTGTGAAGGGAAGTGGATCTTCTTGCCAAACGTTTGAGGACATCTTGAATTATGGTAAAACTCTTTTGCTAGCCAGCCATAACAGTGACAATATAGATCGCGAAATTGTGCTAACCCTGTGGCCAAGAAACTGGAACTCAGTGCAGAAGCTGTTAAAAGAGGAAGGATATGAAGATGCCAAATTATTTTATGTTTGCTTTTGCTGGAATGAGAAAGAACAAACAAGAAATGGAAAAGCTAGTAAAAAAATTGTTTACGCTGGAAATTATAGCATTTTGGAGAATAAGGATGACTTGTGCATTCATTGTGGCAAAAAAGGTTATCTAAAATACTATTACCTAGGCATGAGCACAGAAGTGAAGAATTGGTTTAAAAGTGTAGATATGTGCAGAATAATGTTGTCCCATTGGAATGCACGTGATAGTTGGCTTGGTCGCCAAAGCAGCAATCCAGAAAAATGTGAATTCTGGGATGGTGAGCGATGGGTTGAACTGCAATGGTTCTGGGACCCTAAGAGCACCTGGACTTTGCCAACACTGTGTCCTCATTGTAGCCTACCAGTTTCATCAGATAAGTTGCTCAATTCTCCAAATGGCAAAGATGGGAGTAAAGATGTGGAATGCCCAAACTGCTTTGAAAATTTTGAACACTTTATTAAAGTCACCAGTGGATCTCCTTTGAATTTGGCACTGGTAGGCCACTGGGATGGATGGCAGCCGTTTGGAACTAGTTATAGAGGCTGTGGATCACTTGAAGTTAGCATTGCTAACATGACTAAGAATGACAGGAGCCATGTAGAAGAAGTATATGTTGTTGGTTTTGTTCCTTGCTCCCAGGTTCCTAACCTGCCTTAAGCTCTTGACCCATTTCTACAGCCTTTACTGCAGGACATATCCACAGGTTTCATTGATGGTTTCAAGGTTTTCAGTTATCCAAGGGAGATAGAGATAGAGGGCTATCAAACTAGCGAAGAGGAGACAGTGCGTGTTTTCCTTCTGTGTTGGACAGGGGATCATCCTGGACAATGTGAGTGTGGCAAATTCTTGAATCAAGGAAAGTCTGGAAGTAGGAGATGTAAAGTGGTCGGTAAACTACTGGAAAACAGTACAAACACACATGTGTATTATGGAGAAAACCGCTACCACTTTAGATATCCTTGGGAACAGAGATCTATTGAATCTTCTGTTGATGATATGTTTGACATAGACCATGAAACAAGAGTAAGTGTACGCAAAACGATGTCATCTACTAAAGGTTTTACTGGCACAAGTATCCTTCATAAATACCTCTACCCTTTGTATGGCTTTGACGTCCTAAAGCACCTGGTATTTGATATTTTTCACACTATCTGCCTCAATGTTATGAAAAATCAGTTAGAGAGAATTCTGGACATGAAGCTCGTTGATCCATCATATTTAGATGATCAAGTTGAGAAATTTCTTTGGACACAAGATCTTAAAACTGGGAGAATTCCGCGATCACTTGCACATTGTAAAGGAACACATGTAGGTCAGTGGAAAGCTGAAGGACTGCAGAAGTTTTCCTTTCCTATGGCTGACTGTATATTTATGGGCAAACTGGATGACAGGCATGAATTAGAAATCCAATCGCTTGTTTCAAGACTTGCAGAACTCCACTTTTATAGTGCCAGAAGGTTATGGAATGCTGACATGATTGAAATGCACAGACAGTTAGCATGGCGGCTCAACATTCAGATTGAAGAAATTCAGGGACTACGCATGTGCACAATATCAGTTCATAATTTGACTCACATACATGAAGACATCATTAACTTTTCTTCCCCAGACAATTTCTGGTGTGCCGTTTATGAGAGAGCTGTAAGGCAATATGTCAAAAAGTCGCATAACTGCAAAGGGATTGAAGCAACATTTGCTCAGTCAGAATCCAGGCGGGAATTCTTGAAGCCACTTCAAGCTGCTGCCCCTACGAAACGCGCAGCGCTGTTGCAGCGCTGCAGAATGGCTTCTAGAAGCGCTGCAGAATAGCTGCAAAGAGGCTGGCTGCAGCAGTCGCAAATTTTGGCTGTTCGGGGCAGCGCTATGAAGCCGTTTGAAAGCGATAAGCAGCGGTTTAGCAGCGGTGGAAAGGACACACAAAAACGCTGTCAGCGCTGCCAAATAGCTGCAAACGTGTACAAAAATTCAAAGAATTATGGCATTTGCCTGATTCGATAATGCGGTTTGGCAAATTAGTGCCATCACGCAACGCAGTCCGGAAACCGGCTTAGTAGCAGAGTAAAAACCACTAGAAAGTCAAAATGCAACTTATACTTTATTAGTATCCCGCGTACACGTTACAAAAGCACGTGACATAGAACAAATCTGCAACAGTCTCGCTTTGTAAATATTTAGCAATCACGGTCACTCATCTGAATGTAAGACCACGCATTAACATGCAGACATTGAAAATTATCTTTTTCAAAAATAAAGAGAATAACATCGATTGTTCTACATAAAGTTTACACGGCCATTAGGCAAATGATATTTTGATTCGTTGCAACGGGCTAAGCTGGACATTGCTCACCTTGACGTTTCGTCCATGATCCACGATCTTCTACACTTTTTTCATGAAAGAAATCAACCCAATTTTACTTTGGTCGTCGTTAAATTTTTTTTTTTTTTTTTATTTTATTTCGCACACACAAACAATTACAATACATTACATTTACAATTCATTACAGGTAACTGTTATCGTTTACAATATCGTTTAAATTTTACAATGGACTAAGGAACGAACATTACCACGAGCGTATAAGAATCTTGTGAGTGCGAACCCCAGCTGAGATTCTTGTATCTGTGTTGCTTGCTCTGGTTCGATTCGTCGATACTTAGCGTAGAAGTCACTGTTCAGTGCGTTGTTTGCAAATACGTTTGAGCTGTTCCATCCAAAAACTTCAACAGAACTTCCATCTCGAAACAGAACTAGATGCAGAAAAACTTAGAATGTTTGCGCCTTTCATTCAACGGTCGCAAATGTTCTGTGTTTGTCTAGAGATGTAATGGGATCTCATGCAAAAGGACCGACCAATTAGATTACGGTCTAGAATGTCTCCAGGGAATTAGCGATAACATTCCCACACTCGCCGGTCACGGAATGAAATTTATTGAAATCTTTATTCCGAAAGCATAGGATTTGGAGGTTTATTCAATAAGTGATCTTCTTTGCGCACAAGCTTACTCACATTTCTTAGAGGTACAGTCAAAGTTTTCGCGTTATAAAAGCCGTAATCTGTGCCAAGGCTTTATCTGGCGGTTCATGTTATTGGCGCTCAAGAAAGTCAGATCGACCGCAGCTGAATTGTAGCGTTACTGCAGCTACTTCGCAGCGTTTGAAAGTCGGCAACTGCGCTGCAAAACCGCTGCCGAGAGCTTCAAAGAGCCTTCAAAGGCTGCACAGCGCTTTTGCATCCCGCTGCAACTTGAATGAAGCTGCTGTTTGGCTTCTAAAAGGCTGCTGAACAGCTGTAATTTAGCTGTACAGCTATTTTGCAACGATTTTGTGGCGCTGTACAGCGCTGCAAGTTTCGTACGGGTGATCACAGTAAGGCCGGAAAAGTTGACTTGATGACGGTAATTCATGCTTTTTTAAATGTCAACAAAAAGGGGCTGTGCCCTGCCATTTAAACATCAATTTAATGTTTATGTTACACACACAAAGATGCAGGTAATAGCTAGTCACTGACAAAAGACCTTCTTCAAAATTTTCCCACCCAAAGAAATAAACAGGTCCGTAGAGGTCTCCAGAGGGAAAAGTGCTGAAAAATAGTTCACACTGTTTTAGTGTTTTAAACTTTATGCGCATGTGTTGGCCATTAAGGCAAATTTGCACCATATTTTGAGCTTGAAATCCCTACCTTGTTTTGCTGATTTCGTAGTACTGAAGTAGTCCCCTTAAGTCATTACTTACCCAACTTAAATGCTGCTGAGCCATTCATGGTATTCCAAATTTGATTGACCTTTAACTCCCAGAAGTGATCACAATGTAACTTTTCCTTAATAATTAAGGGAAATTATTATAATAATTATTATATTATAAATACCTTCTTCTGCAAACAGGTGACGAGAGTCAATAAACTTGTCAGCCAAAGATGCCCCCCGATTTTTGTCATCTATATGTAAAGCAAAATGTGTAACAGCTAGAAAGGAGAATTTAGTAACCAGATCTTGACTTAAATGCTAATGTACGCAAAAGAAGTATAAATTGAACAACCAGTTCTGTAAAGTTAAAGCATTGGCAGAAGAGATTTGAAATTTTGTTATAAACTAAATACATTTGACATAGCAAAATGCATTTGTAATTTAATCTTGCTCTTGTTTATTTCATGACTGTGTATGTGCTAATTATTATGTTTTCAGGGATTTGCCAGTTCAACTGAAATTGCTCAAATAGAGTCACAGAAGGAACCTCAAAATCGAAGATCATTACTCTACAGTTGTGATGATGGTGTAATTTCTGTTGCTGACTACCAGAGACAAGCAAGACAGCTGCCTTACGCTATCATTGTTCCAGTTTACATTGAGGGTGGAGATATGTTGTTGATTCAGGGAGAACTGTTGCACGATGTTTGGTTTGGCCATGCCCAAAGTGTTGATCAGTGTGAAAGGACAGTTGATGTGTTTTTCTTTGTTGAAAGTAGCAGGCACAAGAATCTCTATGTAAGGGAGACACAAGGGAGGCATGGTAGAAACACTGTTTCTTGGCACTCTGTCATTGGAATTGCAAGTGGAAAGTGGATTTCTCACTCACAGTGGAGAAAGGATGAATGAGTACAGTGATATCTGCACTTGATACAATGAAGTTACTAAACAGTGAAATGCAGCTAATTTAAGCAAACTATGCAGATGCATGGCCAAGTCAGCTCAGATGCATAGACTCATCTGACCCGACATGCGTCTGCATAAGATCAGATATGTGTCAGGTTAAGAAAGATTCTTTTTTTGTTATTTAATGTCATGAGATTGCTTTGTTTAAAAATCTTAGGCAAAAAAATTCCAGGTTTGGAGTCAAGAAGTGGCAATAGATTAAGTTCTAAGCAGTTTTGTATGTGGGAGGGATACAAATGAAACCTGGTCACTCCAAATGGCAAACAATCTCAAGTTGGTTTTGGACAAAGGCAAAGTTGTTGAAAAGCAAAGCCTCTATTTTGTATTTAAATAATAAATAATTGGGCATCTAAGTCCCTTCTCTGCAGTATCAGGAGCATGCATGTGGAATGTGATACTGAAACACTCCCGAAAAAAAAGGATATATGGATATCCTTACCAAAAATGTCATTATAATTGCACTATGCAGAGTTTTCAACCATAATTTTTCTCGTGGCATTCACACATGCCCCTGATACGCATTTGCATATGATAACAATGGATAAAGTACATGTAAACACCAAGTGTCAGGTGTCAACTTTTAGTCTATGGGCCAGGATTTCATTTATTTATTTATTTTATTTTATTTGTTTATTTAGTTATTTATTTGAAGTGCTTAGATGCACCAGTCCACTAATAACACTTGTAAGTCAGTGTACCCTTCTGTATTGGATTGTGTCAAATCTTAGATTTGAAAAAAACAAAATAAACCAAATTGTGGGCCCAACAATAATTTCCCATTGTCAAACAATGTCCCATGTCCTTAAATTTTGGAAATGGAAAAAGTAGAATTAGTTTTAAACTTTCCCTGATTTTTCCCAGAACAGTTATTTTTGCTTGCTTGCTGCTTGCTTATTTCGAGCGAACTCGAACTCCATTAACTAGCTTCATCCATTCCTTCTGGTTTCCCATGATGCTCTTCAGTTCAGCAATGCTCAAACCAGTATCATTTCGCAGCTGGTCTACATATGTTGTTGCTGGTCTCCCTCTCTTTCTTGTGTTGTGCATTGGTTCCCAGAGTAGTGGATCACTTATCACCTCATCCTTTTTTCTCCAACAGTGTCCTATAAACTGCGGCCTCCTGATCATCAGTGTATCTATAATCTTAGGAAGGTTGCTGTACAGTTCTTTGTTGGTTTTTTGGTTTCTTTTGTTTGTTATTTTTACCTTTTCCAATTTCTCACCCAACTTTTCCCACTGTAGGAAAGCTATGTCCCATTCCTTCCTAGATTTGGGAAAATCCAAAAACATTTAACAACTCTGTTCCCAATGTTTTCCCATTTTTGGAAAAAAATTTCCCAAATACAAAAAAAAAATTAGGACAAGTAGAATGACGTCTTAGGATTTCCCAATATTTTCCCAAAATAGTAATTTCTATTTCCTCCAAGACAAAATTTTCCCAAAGTTTTTGTCTAATATTTTCCCAAAGAAGGAAAATCATGTCCCATTTTTTTTCCAGAATTAGGTAAATTCCCCTTAATACTTCCAACATCGAGTTGTGAAAATATAATGATTATTTTGTCCAAAAAAAATCCCTTTTTGTGAACTTAAAGGTAGTTTACCTCCCCCCAAAAATAAGTTCACCAAAATGTGGGCCCAGCAATTTCCCATTGTCAAACAATGTATCATGTCCGGCCTTAAATATGGAAATCACAAAAGTAGAATTAGTTGTAAATTTTTCTGATTTTTCCCAGAACGGTAACTTTTATCTAATCCAATTTTTCACCCAAACTTTTCCTACTGCAGGAAAGCTATGTCCCATTTGTTCCTAGATTTGGGAAAATCCAAAAACATTTAGCAACTCTGTTCCCAATATTTTCCCATTTTTGGAAAAAAATTTCCCAAATAAAAAAAAACATTGGGACAAGTAGAATGACGTCTTAAGATTTCCCAATATTTTCCCAAAATAGTAATTTCCATTTCCTGCAAGACAAAATTTTCCCAATTTTGTGTCCAATATTTTCCCAAAGAAGGAAATTTATGTCCCAATTTTTTCCCAGAATTGGATAAACTACCATAATATTCCCAAAATGGAGTTGTAAAAATATAATTATTATATTTTCCCGAAAAAATCCCACTTTTGTGATCTTAAAGGAGGTTTAACTTCCCAAAATTTTCCCAATTTTGGTAATTTCAGTCCCAATTTTTCCCCAATATTATCCCTAAATTGGGAAAATTTACAGGAATTTCCCAATTTGGGAATCCGAAATTTTTCCTGTGTATAAACTGTCTATAAACTGAAGGGTTTGCGACACTACGTATATTGCGGGCGCATCGCCCCCGACATGTTGCTCGTTACGGCGTTCTGGTTGGAGGCCAGGTTACAAGGCCCACCTTCCCAAGAATGGTTGCAAGCAATCTCTTACCCAGAGTGTTGTTAGTTTTTGAGCAGCGGGTCAACGCTGGGACATAAATGTAATCTATTTTTGTGGCGTTGCCTCCTTGATGAAAAAGCCAAAAAAGTATGGGCAGGACATTGGGTTGCGGGCATTGTTCGAAAAGTGGTACGACCCAATTTTTTTTCGGGGGAGGGGGGGAGGGGGTGGCACTGGCAGCTAGTTTGGGAAGGTAAATACATCTAATCTAGTTGTTATAAAATTGGCTCATTTTTTGTATTTTAACGATTATGTCCGGTCTTGTTGTTAGTAGGCTTTAGTCGCTTGGTTTGGGAAATTGTGCTCAAGTACAGTAATTGAATTTGCTTCTCTTCCACGGAGCTATCTTGAATTATTACCCGGATGCTCGTTGTGTTGCTAGCTTTACCTTTTTTTTTTTGGCATTTAGAGTGTTTGGGAGGTATAGGTTTGAATTGCGCCAAAGAAGTTTACCAAAAATATGGTGATGTTTGTTGTACTACTGTCTCCCGCTAAGAGTAACTTTTTGATACCTTCAGCAATAGCGACATTGGTTTTCGTTAATCTTACAGCTGATGTTAAGAGGAAACAAGAATGTTTGACTACCAATACTCCAACTTGTCGGATAGGGGACTGTTTTTGGGTTGCGTTGTTCAGTTGAGCAAACAACAAGAAGTGTCTTGGTATAAGATACTAAACTTCGTTACATTCTATGCCAGGTTACGTTACGTAGTGACGTTTATCAAAATATTTGCTCTTGTACTATAATTAGCAGGGAGGTGTAAATAACAATACATTAACGAAGACTGGCGAATGAAAATCAACTCTGGTAATGATCACCGGTCGTTGAAAACTGCTACGGAACATGAGGCTCTATTTTCGTTTGGCTTTGTAAATAACAGTGCAGCGGACAAGGGGAAAGTAAAAGAGAGCCTTAGGTACCTTGTGCTAACTTCTGGCGCCCAGGTTTTGAATAGCATATGCGAAAACCGTCTCTCCTTAGGAGAGAGAGATTTTACATGACAGGAGGGGTCTTTACATAGAGTACTTTTCTCATTCGTTGAGATTTTCAGAATAACCTAACGGAAGTGATGTCGGTTCGATCCTTGTTGTAGTGTGCAACGTTGCAAAAAAGGGAGATTCGCTGAGTGAAAAAAGAAAGTAACAAAAAATTGATTGAAATAAATACCGACTGTTAAAAAACTTACAACCAAAACCTTAAACTTTCCAAAGATATGACTGATATCAAGCGAAGCAATGGACCCGAAAGGGATAGAACTTCAACCCTGCGCGTCAACCCCCTTTCTAAACCTTGTCCCCAGGGCGCTTTTCCATTGCTCCAAAGCCGCGGAAAAGCGCACTGGGGACGAGGTTGCCCCTTTCTCTCACTAGGGTCGATTGCCTTACGCGCGTGTTAGTTTCGGTTAAGTTCGTCCTTTTGGAGGCGAATTGTCGTCTGAGAGCAGTTTTTGGTATCGAAAAGGGACAGCGATCAAACTAAACAGAAATTCCTGTACTTTGTTGATGTCAGGCATACAGTAGTGTCCCCACGCATGTCCACAGATAGGTTGGTGGGAGGGATTTGAAACAAAAGTTTTGGAAAACAAAGGTGTCCATAAAATTACCGTCCAACTGAAAAATATGGTTAAAAAAAAAAACAATAATGAAGCAGCTTGTACGTAATCTATTTCGACCCTGCAATGAAACCACCCTCCAACAGCAATAAGAAATGAGATAGTTTATTCTAATTCTGACAAATTAGACACCGGTTTTATAAGTAGGTTCTGTGTAGAAATTTGTTTATGGCTATTAGACTAGCCTCAGAGGTTTCAAAGTTTGATGGCGCTATCGACGGGACAAATAACTATCTAACGGAAAAGTATTAGGAAATCAATTTGCGTTTTCCATTGGATAGATTCTTATCCGGCGCATATTGCTATGATAGGTTTAAACAACCCACAGAATGTTGGCTGCCCTCAGACCCCTCCCTTGGAGAAACCATATGAACAAATAAAATTGCTCTGAATTCATTACCTGTCAATGGAAACCGCATTTAACCAATAACACAGATCGATAGGTCTAGGGCGCGATCCATTCAACCAAAATTCCAACGGGTCCGACCGGGAAAAGAGGACCACCTCAAAAGGTGGACCCGTTTTTTGGAAACTTTTCCGGTTGGACCGAACCTATCCATTGAGTTTTGGACCGAAATTTCAGAAAAGTTTGGTTGAATTGATCGCGCCCCTAGACTACTTAACAAATGGGGTCCCCTAGGACCCCTCCCTTTGAAGAGCCATTTGAACCAATGAAATTGCTCTAAATTCATTATCTGTCAATCAAAATGGTATATAACCAATAACAGAAAGTCATAGGTCTAGTCCAGCCAACACCCATGTCGTCGGTAAAAAAGAGTCGACAACTAACCTGCTCGTCCTCTTCTTCTCAAGCAGAGTAAAGAGGTGAGTATCCCTTGTTGTGCCTAAGGCAATCCAGTTGTTGTTTTTACAGCTTCCATTCAAATGGCAAAATCGCAGTAGAAAACCTAATTGA